TCTCTCTCTCTCTCTCTCTCTCTCTCTCTCTCTCTCTCTCTCTCCATCCCAGCAACTGAATGGTGGAATGACCGTAACAACTGGTCACTATGATGTGATGCAGCACTGCGGTGACCAAATGGCCTTATCTGGGCCACAATTGGCCCCCCAACTTCCCAAGGCCCCTCCCCCAGGCTGGCCCCACCCCCGATTGACCCTCCCTACCCTGATCACGGGCAGGGCTGGCAGGTCAACCACTTGCAGCCCTTCCCCTCAGCTGCTCCCCCCCACCCCAATCGGGGCCAGGCTGGCCAGACCCCACCCATGCACAAATCTGTGCACTGGGCCTCTAGTGTATTTATATTAGTAATAATAGGGTGACTGTTTCCCCAAGCTGAGTTCTAACACTAGCCAAGAACAGCCCGTTAAGAAGCAGGTATTTATTATGGTGGTCATAGTGTCAGGGACTTGGGTCTCCCTTTAAGCACTTGTCCTGCCATCTTGGAAAGGTCTAGCTGGAGACATAACCAGCCTGTTTTTGGAAAAGAGACCTGAAAGTGAGTTCATGGAAGTTTGGATTACCACTTTAGAGGATGGTGACAATCTGTTTGCCGGGTGGGTGGAAGCTAATGCATTGGTTCAAATCCCATCCTCCCGACCTATGCGAGTTTTCCATGAAATAAGGTAGGAAATGGAGATCACTTGCCCGCTTCCTGTGTTTTTGTTTTGGTGGCCGCTCCTTACCTTCTCTCCTTTTTGCCCAATGCCTTCCCCATCAAGATTCTCCTCCCTCTCTGATTTCAAGGCTTTGGGAATATCACGTAGCTCCTCTCCTAAAGTAAATTTACTAGTATATCACCTATTCCCTTCATAGAGCACCACAGACTGACTCTCAGGCCCCAGCCATCCACCAGACAAATACTGCATATTCATGTCATCAAAGTAGAAATTATTAAGAATCTACATCTAACTAAAGTATTTTCTCTCATGGAAAAAATATCAGAGAATTAGAGGAAACCTTAGTTGATTAAGTCACTGCATATACATTATGAAGTACGGCAGCATACTTTGTAGTTATTAACACAATTTGAATCTCAGTTTTACCACTTGCAGACTAGGTGAATTTAAACAGGTCACTTAAGTTCTCTGAGCCTCAGTTTCAATAACCCTACTTCATGGGTAGTCACAAGATTAAAGGTAAATCGTGCAGCTGCAGTGTTCTGTAAGAGACAACTTTTAAAAAAGATACATTTAGAAACAGGTACTATAACTAATGCAGGAATTGCTGCAGAATTTACCTCTATATAAGCCTTGCATAAAGCAGAAATGAGTCTCAAAACCCAGGCTTTCAACCTGTGAATGATGGAAATTACAAATACTCAAAAAAAAGAATGCTCAGTTTAATTAACTAATTTAAATAACCTTTATTTTAACTACTAAGAAAGGAGCCTGCTGCCAGAGGATAGGTTGAAATACAGGGGTGGGCAAAAGTAGATTTAGAGTTGTTCAAATGGAAAAAGACATGCAGGTTATGATTATTACGGTAACTTTATTAACTCTGTTTTACATACTCACAACTGTATACCTACTTTTGCCCATTCCCTGTATTTAAGACCAATTTGGCAGGATCATTTCAGAGATTCCTTTTTAGATATATTAAACTTTTTATGGGCAAAGTCTTATTTTATTCTACTAAATATCTTCCTTTCTTCATCAGGATTTGCAAAAATCAAAGTCAGAACTTACATATCTTTATAATGAAATTCACAGTTTTCCAGGGACAACAGAAGACCATTTGTTAATAGCATATAACCTGCTCCAAAGAGAAAATTCTGATTTAGAAACAAAGGTGAGACTGAATTATGAAGTATTTAAATGTTCAATGTATGACATATCTTTTATGAGAATAAGATAAAAGGAAGTTAATTTTCAGAAAGAGATGGCTTGGAAATTGGAGTTTCTTTTATTATTATAAAATCTCTCTCTCTTTCTCTTATTAAAAAAAATCAAAAAACTGTTTTTAAATAATTACAGACTTACAGAAAAGTTGCAAAAATAGTACAAAGAATTGCCATATACATTCATTTCTCGAAATGTTAATATGGTACCATGTTGCTTTATCATTCTCTCTTTTTCTGCACACATACACACACTTTATTTTCTGAACACTTCAAGAATAAGTTGGAGTCATAGTTAATACTCCTTTACCACTAAATATTTCCATGTATGTTTGCTAAGAAAATTATCTCTTTGTCATAGTAGACCTCAAAATCAAGAAATCAACCTTAATATAGTATACTAGAGGCCCAGGGCACAAAATTTGTGCACGGGGGGCGGGGGGGCCTCAGCCTAGCCTGCACCCTCTCCAATTCAGGACCCCTCGGGGGATGTCTGACTGCCGGTTTAGGCCCAATCCCTGGGAGCGGGTCTAAACCGGCAGTCGGATATCCCTCTCACAATCCTGGACCGCTGGCTCCTAATCGCTCACCTGCCTGCCTGCCTGGTCGCCCCTAACTGCC